ATCTCATCCCCTCACTCAGAGCAGAATAAGTTAGGATGAACATTTCCATTTTCCTCAATTTTGTTAACCTCAGGTCTTTTCAGTCTGCTTTTTTGTCCTCCTTTCTCTTCCAACAAATGTCTATTTATTTTAGGAAGATGGAGTTCTTCTTTCCCTTTTTTGTATTTGAAAAATATGAAATATGCTGTGCATATTGAAAAACATATTTTTGCAGTAGGACTTAAAGATTTTTAATATTTTCATAATTCACCATCTACATTCTTCAGATCTGTTTTTTTTTCACATTTATTTTGTCGGTGCTGTTCAGTAATATTGCAGTGGTACCATGTTCTACTTTTCAGTATATACTTTTTCAGAGCATATTGCAGTTACATCTTAGTTTAGCTAAGCTGTAGTGGGCCTTGCTATTTGTAAGTTAATGATGAACAAATGCATCTAATTTCCATAAGTATTGCTCAGTTTCAGAGATTTCCTTATATAAAGTAAAGTAGTTAAGTGACTCCCACTTATCTGCCAATTTGGCGACTTGATACTGCGTTTTCTGATAATACGTGTCAAGTATTTTGCTATCATTGATTATTGACAAGAATCTTTCTGTTGCTCATATATATTAAGAAAAGCACACTTTTTTACTCATGTTTGTAATATTTTTACTGTGTGGTTATTTATATACAAGTGGTGATACTAGTGTTTATGAGGAATCATGTTCTTATGCATCTCAGTACTCTCCTTTAGTATTCAAAAGTTTGTGAGGCGTTCCAAAGGGATAAAGGATTTCCCATCCTTGTCTGTTCACCATGTGAGGTATTCTAGTGACAGATGAATTCTGGGCAGTGAGTCGAGAAGGACACAGATGTCAAAGCCATGAATTTCTAAATAGTCTGTTAAGAGGGTGCTTTTGTTCAATCAGCATTTTGTTAATTTCACCTACAAGCAAGAATAATTATTTAATTATAATTTCTATCTGACAAAAATCTAATAACAAATGTGTCAAAATCTAAAGATAAAAGATTAGTCAGGATTTTGGCCGGAGGCCCAAAATTTAGGCAGCCGTGTAGAGGTGGATATAGATCCAAATTGACCTAATAACGCTGATTACAAATTCTTTGTGAATAATATCCATGGATCTTACTGAGGCATAAAAGTAGTTTTATTTTTACGTATTAAAATGTAAGAATTTTGTTTTGTATCTTTATGAAATAAAATTAGCTTAAAAATTTACCTTGACATTAGAAAAAGTATAGTCATATTCCTCCTTAGTTTGTTTTGTCTTATTGCCAGCATTGTTTCAAAACTATTTATAACTTCCAGAACATAATGTGAAAAAGCCATCTTTATTAGAGGTATAACTAATACATCATATTGTTTGATATCAAACCAGGTTATCAGCGTACTTTTTTGTAAAAGGCCTAATAGTAAATATTTTCAGTTTCATGGTCCCAGCTATGCAGCTATAGTACAGCCACAGATAATATGTAAACACATAAATGTGGCTGTATTCTAATCAAACTTATTTACAAAAGCATCTAAGAAACTGGATCCATGGTCCACTGTTTGCCAAACCTGGTAGAGATTTATGACATTAAAAATTTCTGCTAAAATTTTAATAATATTCTAAAGTAGAGCTTTATGAACCATGTAAAATAATTTGAATGTGCAGTCCTTGGCAGGATATTGAGCTCCCATTGAACTATGCCATGAGTGGCACTTGCTGAGGTAGGCAGTTTGGTGGTCCTGATAATAGCTGTGTGGTACATTTCTTTCATCTCTATCAAGGGTGTCATTTATCTGGACTCCTTCCTGTTTGTAAATAAAGTTTTATTGGAACACGGTCATGCTCATTTGTTTATCTATTGTGTATGACACCAACAGCAGCAGAAAGCAGTACTTTCAACAAAACCATATGGCCCACAAAACCTAAAATAGTAACTTTACAAAAAACCATTTGTTAACCCTCCCGCCATGCTCTTACTGTATTTCTCTTTAAGCATGAAATTTCAGGGCACCCTGTGGGAATGCCTCTATGTTTGCCATATTGGGGCCAAGAAAAGATGTATCCAGAAGTTAGCCAAATAGCTAAGTGCTTCAGGATTCTTATTCTTTTACAGTGTTTTTCTTCATAAGGATCTGCTCTAGGAAATTAAACATAATTTCCTGTAGTTGGTCCTATTGCTGGTCGGCATTTCCCATAATAAATGAGTTACTTTGAAGAACTTGTATTGATTGGGGGACTTTACCTGTTTGGAGGCGAAGGAAGGTGAAGTAACTGGGTTTCCGTGGCTGTGCACTCTGGCCCAGGGCAGCTGGCCCTTCCTTCTCGAGCTCTGTTGTACTGACTTGAGAACCTTGTCACTGACATAGCACTAGGTATTTTTTCTGGGTAGTATCTCAGAGTTAGATCTTGAAGGATTTGCTTTGATGCCTGCAGATCTTAATGGGATTTATGGAGGTAATTGAGTGCTGTAGTTATTAAATAATAAAATTTCCAGGATAGTAGATAAAAATAAAGTTTGGGGGAAAGAGAGGGTATTTGCAGCTTAAATAAAGTCTGCTTAATCTTGTGACAATTTCTTCATTTCTTTCTTACATTTATATTTGCTCTTGGTTGGTTCAGCAATATATTTATTGTATTCCATGAATTTCCTAAAAGTTGCTATTTCAGATACTCAAAGGAAAAAAACTAATTTTCTTATTTATTAGTCTCAAAAAATAAGAAACAGTATTTTTCAAGAAGTTCCATATCATCCAGCCTTTACCTGTGGGGTGGGATGTGTCCCCATAGTAGAGGACTTGCTAGCGTGCCTGAGGCTCCTGTACGACTAAAAAACCAAATTACAAAAGAATCTTGTTGGCAGTTTCTTCTTAGATCACTACTCCATAACTCTCCTAGCACTTTTCCTCTTTGGCTCTCTTCCTTCTGGGGCACCAGCTGCTCAGCTTGCCTCCCTCTTCTCTGTGTCCCATAAATTCTGGTGCTCACTGTGTGCTCTCCCTAGGCCTTGTGGCCCCCATTACGTTCCTCTCTGTTTGCAGGCCCGTCGCTCCAAAGTTATGTCTCAGGCCCAGATCATCCCTTTTGGATTTCAGACTTGTGTTTCAGCTCCTTGTTGAGTATTTTTATCTGCTTGTGCCATAAGCAGTAAACTTTCGTTTTCCTATTGAATCTGCCTATGTTTTTCCATACTATCTTATTGGTAGGACAGACTGTCCACTTGCTAAAGCTTGACGCTCATCCTCGACTCTTCTAACCTCCACAGCCAGCCTGTGAGTCCTGCCTCCCAGATATCCCCGAATAACGTCTCCTATCCAGTCCCATAGCTGTCAGCCTGACTCTGATCAGCTGAACTACTACAACTATTTCTTACTTTATTTCAGTTTTAGTCTTGCATCCTTCCCATTCATTCTGAACCTTGCATTCCCAGTGGTTTTTCTAAAACTACAATCTGATTGTGTTGCTACCCTGGTTTTTTTTTTTTTTGGTACCAGAGATTGAACTTGGGTCCTTGCGCTTGCAAGGCAGGCCACCGAAGTGCTGAGCTAAATCCCCAGCCCCAATTGCTACCCTGTTTTTAATTTTTTGCTGGATTATTATTAAAGTCAAGTCTGATTTACTAATATAGTTTAATCAGGTGCCTTTCTAGTTTTATATCTCACTGCTTATCTTTGCCTGGGCTGTCTGTGGGCCATGGCTTCTATTAATTGTGAGTCTGTGTGCACCCTGCTCTTCCTGAAAGGCTCTTTCCTCCCCACTCCCAGCTGGGGCTTCAGTTCTTACCTTACATAATAGCCCTGCTCCCTGGCTTCCAGTAAGTTTGAATTCTCTCATTTTGCTTTGAGCTCCTGTAATACTTTGTGCTGTCTCTTTTAGTAATAGTCATCTAAGTTTCTGAGGGTAGGGACCTGCAGCCACAGACTTTAGACTGGCACATATGCTGGCATGTTCGTAATGTTCACAAATATTTTCTTTTATATAGAGTAAGAGGGTAATATGAACTGGCCTTCCACAAAAGTATAGAATTAAATTTTACTGATGCTTTGTTTTTCATATTTGGTTTTTGTTTTTGTTTTGTTTTTTTTTTTTTT